CTTATCTAATAACTCCTGTTTTTGCTTTTTACTTCACTCTTCAGATTTTTCCTGAAACTTGGCTACTTCTTCTCTTTTGATTTTAACTCTTCTTTAGCAGTTGATAACTCTTTTTCTAGCTCTCTATTTTCTTTTCTAAACAAGAACTGAATGCTTGTGAAAGTAATTCTTTATCAGAAATTTGCTTAGTTAATTTAGCTTTTAAATGACTACAAAGGCACCTATTTCTATTTCTATTTAACCTACCACACTTTTCACATCATGAAAGAGTATTATTATCATAATCTTTTTTATATTCGCCACAAATAAAAACTATGTCAGCGTAACCATCAGGAGTATTACGACCCACCATTTGATGAGTAGCAGGAGCAGTATTAAGGCTGAAATTAGTTGGATTGTCAAAATCTAGAAAGCAAAAATTACATTCTTGTTCATCATCCTTTGCTATTTCCAATACTCTATATTCTAACTTCATACAATTATTTATTTTTCTGGATAATGAAAGTTTGGAACTTCTCTTTAGCCTTTTCTTTTACTTTACTTACTAATTTTTTGAGTTTGTGTAGCCTATTTTCTTTTTGTTGTTTTTGTAAAGCTGGTAATTCTTTCTTTTCTAAATAAACCCTTTGGTTTATTTCCTGATTCTTAGCCACCAAATTATTTTCCAACAAGTCTATTCAGTCTAGAAGTTTGCCCATTGCAGCATCATGCCTCAAAACTGTTTCAAACATTTGACACTTTCTCCACTTCATAGCTGTATTTAGTGCTTTCTCAGCTTCTTCACATTCCATTCATACTTCATCTTCTAATTCTTCTATTCTGTTTTCTTGCTCTTTAATCTCAGTTTCTAACCCCTCGATTTTCTTTTCAAACTCTTTCCTTTGCCTAATGTTTTCATAAACTCATTCACTTTACCAAGGAATATACTTAGAGCAAGTTTCACCTAAATCTTTTGAACTATCAATAAATTCCTCTAACATTTCTTCAATTGTGATGTTGTCATATCAAACTCTTACAATTTTTGGCTCATTCCCTCATTTCATTAGGATCTACTGCCATTCTTAACTTACCTTCCTCTAATCACTTTTTGTTTAGTTTCTTATATCATCAATGACCAGGGACATAACTACTTTCATCAGGTTGACCAGTAAGGTGTCAAATTTTTAGTTTTAGATTTTCAATTTCTTGTTCTCTTTTTTTGTTGATATCGCTGATTTCTTCTAATAGTTGTTTATTTTTCTGTTCAAGTTCATTTATTATGTTTGTCATGTTTTTTTTGTTTAGTTATTTTATTTTATTTATTCTTTTAATATACTTAATATACTTTTTATGAGGGTATGTTAAGTATATAAATTATTTTAGTATTTTTTTACTTTAAAAGTGGAAAAAGCTAACAAATATTTGTCAAAAGATTAAACTTAATGACAGTAAGGGGACAAATTAACAAGTGGTGAAGTAACAAAGGTAATTTTATTCTAAATATTTTATTCAATTCCAGTATAGATTGGTCTTGAGCAAGTAATATTCTTGGACACATATCAATCTTTACCCTAGAGATAGAATCGTTGCAGGCAACTTGTCAGCTAACATTAAGTATATAAATTATTTTAGTATTTTTTTACTTTAAAAGTGGAAAAAGCTAACAAATATTTGTCAAAAGATTAAACTTAATGACAGTAAGGGGACAAATTAACAAGTGGTGAAGTAACAAAGGTAATTTTATTCTAAATATTTTATTCAATTCCAGTATAGATTGGTCTTGAGCAAGTAATATTCTTGGACACATATCAATCTTTACCCTAGAGATAGAATCGTTGCAGGCAACTTGTCAGCTAACATGTCAGCTTTCTCTGGTCTGAGTGCTGTGAGGGAAGGTTATCAAAAGTGTCCTTGATGATGATGCAATTTTGGTAAACTCCAGGGCCACATATTTCCCCCTGGAATTCAGTTGCATCATTGTATCATCAGTCCATCAGGTAAGACTAGCTTTATGTACATGAGGAACATGAGAAATGACTGTAAAGTGTTCAAGGTAGCGTGCGTGCTTCAACATCTGTAAATTTCCAATAACCAAATGTTCATATCGAATGTTTCATATTTGAATTGTTTCTTTTTCAACAGTGTGCTGCCTTGACATCTTGTAATTAATTATATATTTAATATTAATAATAATTATGAAAAGCCAAATACCAATCATTTGTTTACCATCTTGATGAAAATCTTATAATTACCCTGCAAGATCTGCTCTGTGTTTTGATTTCAATAATATATCAATAGAATTTAAAAAAAAGTTACCTCTGGTTAGTTATTAACACGTCTCTTTTTAGAACCAATCATGCCAAACAACATCACTTGCGTTTTGTCATCTGTCAAAAATAAATTGTTTTCCAAAAAAAAATCAATCACATCAACAAAAAAAAACAATAGGGTGGACATTCTTATAATTGGTAATGATTTTCGTCGATCAGATTACACAAAAAAGAAAATTTGATTGGCTGAGAAGAGGTTTCGTGATGTATAAGTTTTATCAAGTAGATATTGGAAGCAAATAATGCAAAACCATTAATTTAACAATAATCAAGAACAAACTACCTTGTTCCTATTATTTATGAAATAAATATATATTATACAAATTTAACAAATTTATTAATTTAACAAGAATTATAAAACTACCTCATTTCTATTATCTATGAAATAGATATAAATATATTATATAAATTTATTGATTTAACAATAATTATAGAAACAACTTACCTTGTTTCTTTTGCTTGCATTCTAAGGAAACAAAACCATTAATTTATGGAACAAACACCCTGTTTCTATTACCCACACCTAATAATAAGAAAAAATAAATATATTATACAAAACCATTAATTCAATAATAATTATAAAATGACTATCTTGTTTCTATATCCATGTCTATATATAACAAATAAATAAATAAAAAAATATATTATACAAAACTATTAATTTAACAATAATTATAGAACAACCACCTTCT